ACACGAAACCCGATGTCCTCAGCGATCCGACGGGTGTCTGTATCCTCCGTCCGAAACCCGATGTCCTCAGCGATCCGACGGGTGTCTGTATCCTCCGTCCGAAACCCGAATCCAGACGTCCTCAGCGAACTTCCCCACACCACTCCTCCGACTCTCCTTGCGTCTCCTGCTCCAACCAGCTCCCTGTCTCTGCCCCTTCTTATCCCAGGTAGAAGCTTTATGGCTCGTTAAAGCCGCCAGCACCGTTGAAATCATTTAACGGCTCCTCAACTGCAACGTCCCCACTCCTCCAAGCCGGCCAGGTTTTTTTTTAACCGTTCTTCAGTCTTTAGGTCCGATGTAGTTTCTGTTACTGAACTCAAAAGTAGTTCACAGCTACGGCTCTGAAGTTTCGGTGGTCTCTCCGGGCTTCTTCCACTGCTGTCTTCCGCTCTCCTCTCACCCGCTTCTCCGTCCCAACGTCTCAACCCCCCGCCGTCTCTCTCTCTCCTTCCCGCTCTCTCCCTCTTCTCGAACTTTCCCCAAAGCTCCCCCTAGTGTTCATAACTTGCTATTGCTCCTACACAGCTTTCATTTTTTTAAAATTCAGTCCAACATCCTTAGACTAAACAATCAACAAAACAATAATACACACATAAATGGAAACAAACATTTCTCATCTGAGGCCTGTTCTCAACTGAAAAATACTCAATGTAAACTGCATAACTTAAGTGGCAACGTTACAGTTAACATTATACATGCACCTCACTGTTCATGTGGATACAAAGTAATGTCAAACCTGGTTTACTCCATTGAAGGGTTTTAGGTAAACTGTGTAACCCAGGGGGCTACACCCTCCCCCTTCTAAAACATTTGATGTCCCCATCAAATAATGAGGTTATATGACCCAAATAAGAGTAGTAGGCCCAGCTAAGTCTAACCCAACACAGTTACGACATAATGCCATAGGGTGGCACCATAGAGTAGGACAAGACAACTTTCTTGAGTCCTGGTAAGTTACACTGCCAACTAGAACTCCACAACTGAAAGCTTTTACAGGCTGGTCTGATGGCTGTCCCAGTTCATCGTAACTCAGCCTAATGACCGGTTTTATCACTCGCCTAGAACGCTCTGCAGGGACCTCATCGGCTCTGCAAACTACATCCCCACTGCTTCCTTCTTCCCCTTCTAAATCTAGATCTGGACAGGGTAGGGGATCCCTTAGAGGTAAACCTGGACTTACTTCAGCATTGTCCAAGTCCTTGGGGAGTGAGGAAACCCGAGTTCTCTCATGGACTAAAGACTTTTCTCTAGTCCTCAACCCTGATGGCCCCAGAATGTCTCTTAGATTCACTTGTCGTGAAGCTGGCATGGGTACCACCTCAAACTCTGAATCAGATGACACAACAATATCTGCATAACAAGAAGGTTTGACAGGCTCCAACTGCTGTCGTCTACTCCTGGTGACAGGTCTCTGCACCTGTTCGAGCTCAACATCCCCAGCTGTAAACCTGACAAGATGGCCAATGGGCAACAAATGATTTCGATGTACTGTTTTTTCTCCTCCAGGCCCCCTTTCAGGTTTTACCCGGTAAACAGGCAAGTTAGGCATCTTGTCCATTACAACGTATGGCACTGTCCTCCACCTCTCTCTCAACTTGTGTCTACCAGTGACCCCAAAGTTCCTTAGAAGCACCCGATCTCCAGCTTCTAAGACTTGCTCTGTCACATGTTTGTCATGTGCCTTTTTGTTTCTTTGATGATTCTTGTCAGCTGCGTCTTTAGCTAGACGATAAGCTTGTTCCAGATTCCTCTTTAGCTTTGAGACATACTGGGGGTAACTTACTGCTTTCCCGCTTTCCTCTGATACTCCAAAACAAATGTCCACCGGCAGGCGGGCCTCCCTCCCGAACATCAGGAGGTAAGGTGAGTATCCAGTCGCATCGTTTTGGGTGCAATTATAGGCATGCACCAACTGACTGATGTTTTGACTCCATTGCTGTTTCTGTTTTGGGTCAAGAGTCCCCAGCATGGACAACAATGTTCGGTTAAATCTTTCAGGCTGAGGATCTCCCTGAGGATGATAAGGGGATGTTCTCGACTTTCGGATCCCCAACACCCTCAGAAGATCATGGATGAGCTTGCTTTCAAAATCACGTCCTTGATCGGAATGTATCCGTGCGGGAAGACCATAATGAATGAAGAAACGCTCACATAGAATCTTGGCAACGGTGGTTGCCTGTTGGTCTTTGGCAGGAAATGCCTGGGCATACCTTGTAAAATGATCAGTCACTACAAGGATATTTGCATACCCTTGAGAATCAAGTTCTAAAGACAAAAAGTCAATACACACTAAATCTAATGGCCCGCTGCTGGTAATCTGATGTAACGGAGCTGCTCGCTGGGGCAGTGCTTTACGTGTGATACATCGGCCACAAGTTTTCACATACTGTTCGACCTCTGACCCCATCTTAGGCCAGTAAAATCGATTGCGAATCAGCTCAACAGTCTTTTCCACTCCAAGGTGGCCTGATTCATCATGGAGAGATTTAAGCACTATGGGAACATGTTCTCTTGGCAGAACAAACTGAAACACTTCTGTCCCCGCTGGTTTTTCAACCTGTCTATAGAGCAATCCCTCCCTCATGACTAGCTTATTTGCCTCTCTATGCAGGAGAAGTGACCCCCTGTCAGCACACTTCTCAGGTGAAAATACAGTTTCACCACTCAATGCCTTCTTAACAGGTGCAATCATGGGATCTTGGTCTTGAGCTTTGCGGAGATCTGATCTGCTCAGTTGAATCAAGCAGCCCAGATCTAGACGGGTTGGAAAAGCATAGCATTCTGGTATGCCAGTGGGGGAAACCCCCAGAGCTTCTGCATAGCTAAGGGACTCAGTAGACTCATCTCTGGCTACTTGCTTACAGAGGGCTTTAACACTGTCAGGGGGAAGACTCCTAAACTCAGTTTCATCATCAGAAATAGGGTGGCGTGACAATGCATCAGCATCAATGTTGCTAGAGCCTGGTCGATACTGCAAGGTAAAGTTATAAGTGGAAAGGGCTGCCAGCCAGCGGTGACCTGTGGCATTCAGTTTAGCGGTAGTAAGGATGTATGTTAAAGGGTTGTTGTCTGTTCTCACAACAAATTCGGCTCCATACAGATAGTCGTGGAATTTATCCACGACGGCCCACTTGAGTGCCAGGAACTCTAACTGGTGTACTGGATAGTTCTTCTCAGACGCACTGAGCTTTCTACTGCCAAAAGCGACTGGTCTTAATCCCTCAGGATGCTCCTGGTTGAGTACCGCCCCCAAGCCATGCAAACTTGCATCAACATGTAACACGTAGGGTTTTGAAGGGTCGGCAAAAGCCAAAACAGGGGCATTGGTGAGGCATTTAAGGATCTGACGGAAAGCCTCAGTGCAACTCTGATCCCACCTATCTCCAAACGTTTCAGTTACTTTGTAGTAGGGTTTTGATGAAGTCTTTCCTGCCTTACATTTCTTTTGGGTTGGCGGATATCCTTTACACAGCTCTGTAAGTGGTCTAACAATGATTGAATAGTTTTTTATGAAGCGTCGATAATACCCACAAAATCCTAAAAAGGACTGCAGTGATCGGAGATCAGTGGGTTGTTTCCAGTTAGCGACTGCCTTCACTTTGCTTGGATCGGTAGCAATGCCTTCTTCAGAAATCACATGTCCAACATATTTCACCTGGGGTCTGCAAAACTGGCATTTATCAAGTGACAGTTTTAGTCCTGTTTCTCCTAATCGGTCAATGACTTTGAGAAGTCGCTTTTCATGCTCCTCTAAGGTGCTCCCAAAAACAATCAGGTCATCCAAATATACAATCACTTCTAGCATATTCATATCCCCAACTGCCCTTTCCATGAGGCGTTGGAATGTTGAAGGAGCACCAGTGATCCCCTGAGGCATCCTCTCAAACTGAAAAAACCCCAATGGACATATGAATGCGGTTTTCTCTTTATCCTCCTCTGCCATTGGGATCTGGTAATATCCACTTCTTAAATCTAAAACCGAGAACCACTTGCTTCCAGACAAACAGTCCAGAGCATCATCAATGCGGGGAACTGTATACTGATCTGGAATAGTTCTGCGGTTGAGTGTCCGGTAGTCAATGCACATTCGTAGCTGTCCACTTTTCTTTCGTGCCAAGACAATGGGTGACGCATAAGGACTTCTGGATTCTTTGATTATCCCTGCAGCAAGGAGTCCCTGAAGATGACGACGAAGGTCCTCAACATCTGCTGGTGCTATGCGCCTTGACCGCTCTCTGAACGGGGTGTCGTTGGTGAGTCGAATGTGGTGTTCCACTCCATAGGCTAACCCCACGTCCCACTCCACTGTTGAAAACACATGGGATCGCTCCAACAGTTTTTCTTTCAGTCTCTGCTTCCACTCAAAAGGGATTGGAGAGTCTCCAAAATCAAATAGGGATGGATCAAGTTTTTTGTGACTGTGTGTCTTTATATTTGGGATCTCAGTCACTGTGTCAGCTACATGAAGATGTGCTACTACTGTGCCGATGGGAATGGCAGTGTCTTTTAGTGACTCATTTCGCAATAAAACCAGAAATCTCTCTCTGTCCAACATATTGGAGAATAACACTGTTGGCTGCACAAACAAACTTGGTGGAAGAGCATATGAGGCCGCACGCTCGGAGATGAGAATGCTGTCTCCTAGTCTCTTTTGTTCTAAGACTTTGCAAACCGCTATATGCTCACCGCCAGCGGGAATAATCAGGGGCCCAGGCCCTGTCCATTTAACATCAGCCACTGCACTGCTGCTGTGAACTGAGTTTTTAGGCTTGGGATCTACATTAAGTTCCTGATCTGTCACACCCACTCGTGCAGCATAGACATTGTCGGAGGTGGCTGCCTTTCGGTTCAAAGGGAGGGACCAGACTTTGTTAACATTAGTACCAATGAGGATTGGCATTGTGTCTGAGCAACGAGGATCAGGGCATACTAAGGCAAGAACCGGAACAGATTTCACCTTATTTTGTGTCTCCTCTGAGAACTCCTTCAATATAACCTTTATATGGGTAACTGCTTTCAGACTCACTTAGACCCCAGATAGCTAATCCTGACACTGGATTTAAAGGAACATGTGATAAATGTTCTGTGTACCAGCTGTCAAAAACAATCGTCACCTGAGAGCCACTGTCTAGAAGAGCCGTGCAGGGTTTTCCCTCTACTTTGACATGAGCAGTCGAGGGCGGTCCTACCAAACCTTTAGGCAGATTATCGGCATGTAGCTTCACAGCACTCCTTTTCACATTGGCGTTAACAATTTTTCCATCTGTGCATCCTGGGCCTGCTCTACCCCTCCTCTGGGCCTGAATCAACTTCTGAATAACTTTCGGATAATTTTCGGGCGAGGTACATTTAGTGGAAATGTGCCCAACCTCCCCACAACGGTAGCAAAAAATGTCTTTGGGGTCTCGGGGCATGGATGCCCTCGGCGCCCCAGGAGTTGGAGAGGTATCTTTGAGAGGTAAAAGCTCTTGGGGTGCTGCAGTAGACTTGACTGACATTGCTGAGACTTGTTTTCTAAGTTTTACAACCTCTCTTTTAAAAGCTTGTAGGCTCCCGTCCTCTTCAGAGTTAACCGTCTCTGCTTGAATTGCAGGTGGAGGTGCAGAAGGAGAAGCACGCTGGGACTGGGCTAAAGCTTGGAGCTCAATCACTTGTGATCTCAGCCGTTCAACCTCCACCCCAAGATCTGTTGCCTCAATCTCTGTAGCTGCAGCAGTACGTTTGACGTGCACAGATTTAGGGGGATTCAGCCTACGTCTGGAGGCCTCATGCTCCTCCTCCACTCGTATCTCATTCAAGAGCTGCAGGAATGTTGGCGGGGCAATTTTTCTCTCTCTTAGTCTCAAGCTTAAAATCATCATGTCAGATCTGATGGCACCTTTAATGAGTTGGTCAATGCGTGCCTTGTCTTTGGAGGCAAGTGGTAAACCCCCTTTTTGAACTACTTTATTTAATATTCTTTCCATTCTTCTCAGAAACTCTGATAGCTTCTCAGTTGGATGCTGGCACATCATTCTGAAAGCGAAGTATAGCTCTTCTCCCGTCTCTGTTGTGCCAAACGTGTTTTCAATAACATCTAGGTATTCTGTGGGAGTTGTGTCTGGATTATTAAATCTCACCGCCTGAAGAATCTCCATGGCAGGACCTTTTACACTCTCCATTATTCTCATTTTCTTTTCTTTGTCGGGTTTGTCTGACTCTTCAATCATTAGTCTTGCTTGCTCTAGCCAGTTATCCAAAGGTTCCTCTCCCAGCGGTGTGGGAAGCACCCCCGAAAATGTTCGGAGTCGTCTGTAACTGCTACTGTCACTAGTTGGTTTAGAGGTGAGCTGTAAGATGTCACCTACTGCTCTAATTATGGCCTCTGGACTGGATGATTGGAAAAACGAATTTTGGCTCGTGTCTGGGTCTGGTGTTTGTGAAGGAGCTTCTCCGTGCTGAAGGCTCTCTTTTTCAACTTCAACTGGACTAATGATTCGCCAAGGGGAATCACTGCCTTCAGGCATAACATCAGCAGGAATGGCTTCAGTCTTTGCGGCTTCCCTGCACTCACAAAGAACTGTTAAACTTTGAGACACAGGATCATATGTTCTTCCTCTGACTCTAACACGTCCAAGAGCTGCACGGTGCCCCATATTACACTAACTTCTGTGTCTTCAGGGACACCCTTAAGCAAAACAGCATGTGAGGGGTTAATACCCTCTCCTTTACACCAGTTAAGTAACTGACTCATATTGTCATTTCACAAGAATAACAAACAATAAACCACAAAAGTGTCTTCTGTAATGTTCAGGAACAAAACTAATTAAACTTCAGTAACTTCTGTAACAGTCACCCAAAGTGGCACTAGGTACTGATCGTCTGGGCATAAGGCTATTTTATGCAAAAAAATATATATATAATAATAATTTTATCCCAGCGGTGCCTCCATTTTTTATGTAGCACCCCCTTACCCAGTCTAGTAACTGCACTAGAATCTAAAACAGGTGGGGTGTCTTCTTGGGTTCGTTGATTTCTGGTAGAAACCTAGCCGTTCACCTAAGGTAAAGTAATCTTTTCCTTCTGCTCTCAAACCCTTACATTAGCATTATCACTTAACCCAGAATAAGCCCAGACAACTTTCTAAATGAAAAAAAAAAATCTTTAATAAAGAACTCACTTAGAATGAAGGAACTGTTCAGTTAACATGAAAGCAATCAAATTACCAAAATTGTAAATGTCTTTGAATCAAATAACCAAATCAGTTAGTTTTTTCAGTGAACATATCTAATATGGGTCATTAACCGACCTCCATACATTTCTCAAAAATATATAAATAAAAAACAATACCAAGTTCAATCTAAATCCACCCGTGGGCCCACACTCACTCACACCCACACACACACACACACACACCAAGTTCGGTACCGTAGCGTTTTTTTTCCGTTGCAGGCCTGTGCGGTGATTTTGTGTCATGCGAAACCTTTCCTTCTGATGCCCTGACAGATTCGCAGAGCAGGCATCCTGAACACAGACACGAAACCCGATGTCCTCAGCGATCCGACGGGTGTCTGTATCCTCCGTCCGAAACCCGAATCCAGACGTCCTCAGCGAACTTCCCCACACCACTCCTCCGACTCTCCTTGCGTCTCCTGCTCCAACCAGCTCCCTGTCTCTGCCCCTTCTTATCCCAGGTAGAAGCTTTATGGCTCGTTAAAGCCGCCAGCACCGTTGAAATCATTTAACGGCTCCTCAACTGCAACGTCCCCACTCCTCCAAGCCGGCCAGTTTTTTTTTTAACCGTTCTTCAGTCTTTAGGTCCGATGTAGTTTCTGTTACTGAACTCAAAAGTAGTTCACAGCTACGGCTCTGAAGTTTCGGTGGTCTCTCCGGGCTTCTTCCAATGCTGTCTTCCGCTCTCCTCACCCGCTTCTCCGTCCCAACGTCTCAACCCCCCGCCGTCTCTCTCTCTCCTTCCCGCTCTCTCCCTCTTCTCGAACTTTCCCCAAAGCTCCCCCTAGTGTTCATAACTTGCTATTGCTCCTACACAGCTTTCATTTTTTTTAAATTCAGTCCAACATCCTTAGACTAAACAATCAACAAAACAATAATACACACATAAATGGAAACAAACATTTCTCATCTGAGGCCTGTTCTCAACTGAAAAATACTCAATGTAAACTGCATAACTTAAGTGGCAACGTTACAGTTAACATTATACATGCACCTCACTGTTCATGTGGATACAAAGTAATGTCAAACCTGGTTTACTCCATTGAAGGGTTTTAGGTAAACTGTGTAACCCAGGGGGCTACACACAGAATAAGTATTAACACCTGCAGGGCTCATTTAGTTTTACTGATAAAAGATTCACAGGAAAGTCTTGTTGGACTCTGTTTGCATTTTAAATGTTTCATTTCTGCAGCTTTTTGACCCAACTGAGGTGAAATCAGTCGACAAACTTTGTTCCTACTTTAGTGTTTCTGCTTTACATAAATAAACAATTCAGGGCTTTAAGCTGTTTTCAAAATCACATTTTTCATTTTCACATACTCCCACAAATCAATTTAAAAGAGACAAACTGAGTTTGTGTAAAACTTTAAATATTTCATAAACATTTTCAGTTATTGTTCTACAATCAGAGACTTGTTTAGAATAGTTTGTTATTCTGATATGTGTTTGTGTAAAGGTAAAGCTGTAATTAATTTCAAAGACGGATGGCCCTCAGTCCTATTTTAGTAAGAGACTGATGCATGTAAACATCTGAATGTTTGTTTGTGTAAAAGTACCTGTATGGTCCCTCCTCGCAGTCAATGAGAATTGAAATCATTGAGTCTTATTGAAACTGTCCAGCTCTACAGCTGGTCAAGCAGACAACATATCTGCCTGCTTTCATTTCTGAATTAGAACTATGTGTGCTTATTTGTCAATTTAAGGGTTTATGATTTTTCCAAAACAACTTGAAGTGATGATTATCTTTCTTATTCTCACATGAACCAGCATTATGTTTGGTCTATTTTTCTGTCTAGAAGTCCCACTGCATCATATCCAGAAAGATGGGAAGGTCGTGACTGGCCAGCAGCTCTGTAAGCAGGGGGACCAGAAGGAACCAGAACCTCTACTAATGAAAGAGGAACAGCAGGAACTCTGCATCAATCAGCATGAAGGGCCATTCATTCTGAAACAGGAGCATGTTCCCTCCATGGTGTCTGCCCCTTCTGAAGAAACAGACTGGTGTAAACCAGAACCAGACAGACGCCAACACTTGTGTCAGAGTTCTGCTGATGGTGACAACCAAGATCTTGATGGATGCTGGAGTGAAAACTCAGAATCAAACAACAATGATGACAAATTAATAGAAAATAAAAGACAAATGATATATCATAGAGACAGTGTAGATGGTCCCAAACTAGAAGAACCCAAGAAAGCTCAAACAGGTGAGAAGCAGTTCACATGTGAATCTTGTGGTAAATGTTTCTCTCACAATAGTACCTTGGCTCGTCACATGAGATCTCACAGAGGTGAAAAGCCATATTCATGTCAAACTTGTGGTAAATGTTTCTCTTCGAGAGGCATCTTAATTAAACACATGAGATCTCACACAGGTGAAAAGCTATTCACATGTGAAACTTGTGGTAAATGTTTTTCACAGAGTAGTACCTTGACTATTCATATGAGAAGTCACACAGGTGAGAAGCCATATTCATGTAAAACTTGTGGTAAAGGTTTCGCTCAGTGTAGTCACTTAACTCTTCACATGAGAACTCACACAGGTGAGAAACCATATCCATGTAATAATTGTGGTAAACGTTTCTCTCTGAGAGGTAATTTAACTAAACATATGACAACGCACACAGGTGAGAAACCATATTCATGTGAAACTTGTGGTAGAGGTTTCTCTCAGCGTGGTAACTTGACTCTTCACTTAAGAAGTCACACAGGTGAGAAGCCATATTCATGTCAAACTTGCGGTCATTGTTGTTCTAAAAGTAGTGACTTGACTAAACACATGAGAACTCACACAGGTAACAAGCCTTATTCATGTGAAACTTGTGGTTATTGTTGTTCTCAAAGTAGTGACTTGAATAGACACGTGTGTACTCGTACAGTTAAGAAGCCATATTCATGTGAAGCCTGTGGTAAATGTTTCACTGATAAAAGGGACTTGACTAAACACATGAGAACTAAAATGTTTCTCTCAGAGTGGTCGCTTGACTGATGACATTAGAACTCACAATTATGAGAACCAATATTCATGTGAGAGTAATTATTGTCAGCTTTTATTTACAGAGCCCTTTCCTATATCAAATGAATGTCCGTAGTGCTGTTTTCAACAAATTGTAACCACAATTTAATCTAATGGGAAAAATCAATAAAAATTAAATAATGAAAATTTCTTTTTCTTTTTTGATTTTAAAAGCCCCCAAGAGTTTGTTCTTGACTGACCTCAAGTTGCAATTGGTTCCACAGCCTCAACCTAAGAAGCAAAAAGGCCCCATCACCCCTTTTTTGGTGTTGTTTTGTCTTTGGGACAACTAATAAATACAGATCAGAAGAACATAGAGGGGCAGTGCCATACAGAGACTGAGACGGCAGCCTAAGAACCTTATTAAAATGACCAAAACTGGAAGCCAATAAATGAAGTTGGATCGCATGATCAGCTGTTTTACTGTCTAACGCAGAAGATGGGTGTAGGGAACCATTTTCATGTTCAGCCTGCATGAAACATTTGGAGTAACCAATTATAATAATAATAAAAAAAATTGAATTAACAACTGTTAACTGATTTTAACCAGGGCCCCCCTCTGGAGCCAGGCCTGGAGTTGGGGCTTGTAGGCGAGCGGCTGGTGGCCAGGCTTTTACCCATGAAGCTGGCTGGGCACAGCCCAAAGAGGGAGACGTGGGTCCCCCTTTCCATGAGCTCACCACTTGTGGGAGGGTCACTTGGGTGCATTGTGTGTCGAGTGGTAGCAGATGGCAGGGACCACGGCGGTCTGATCCTCGACTACAAAAGCTAGCTCTCAGTACGTGGAATGTCACCTCTCTGGTGGGGAAAGAGCCTGAGTTGGTGGGTGAGGTTGAGAGGTTCCGGCTAGATATACAGTGGGGCAAAAAAGTATTTAGTCAGCCACCGATTGTGCAAGTTCTCCCACTTAAAATGATGACAGAGGTCAGTAATTTACATCATAGGTACACTTCAACTGTGAGAGACAGAATGTGAAAAAAAATCCATGAATTCACATGGCAGGATTTTTAAAGAATTTATTTGTAAATCAGGGTGGAAAATAAGTATTTGGTCACTTCAAACAAGGAAAATCTCTGGCTCTCACAGACCTGTAACGTCATCTTTAAGAAGCTTTTCTGTCCTCCACTCGTTACCTGTATTAATGGCACCTGTTTGAACTCATTATCTGTATAAAAGACACCTGTCCACAGCCTCAAACAGTCAGACTCCAAACTCCACTATGGCCAAAGCCAAAGAGCTTTCGAAGGACACCAGAAAAAGAATTGTAGACCTGCAGCAGACTGGGAAGAGTGAATCTACAATAGGCAAGCAGCTTGGTGTGAAAAAATCAACTGTGGGAGCAATTATCAGAAAATGGAAGACATACAAGACCACTGATAATCTCCCTCGATCTGGGGCTCCACGCAAGATCTCATCCCGTGGGGTCAAAATGATCATAAGAACGGTGAGCAAGAATCCCAGAACCACACGGGGGGACCTGGTGAATGACCTGCAGAGAGCTGGGACCA